TCGTCCTTCATTAGTACTTTTGTGCATTTCTAGGCTATTTTTGTGCATTTCTAGGCTATTTTTGTGCATTTCTAGGCTATTTTGAATGAAGCGTTTCAGGAAATTATTAATTCATCATTTGAAGACGGGTAGATTTCAGAAGAATACAATACATTTTTGTTCTTCGGACAATTAAGCAGTTGGGCTCTATAAACCCAGGCAAATCCGGAAGAAGGGTAAATCATGGCCACATTTTTCTAAAAGCCTTGATGATCTTTGCCTTTGGGGGACGGGTGCAACATTTCAAGCCTCGTCGCGGGATACATTTCCGCTGCTTTAATGACTTTGGACTCTTTCCCCAGTTTGAATATTAATTGAGTCTTTTGAATATCGAACGAAAATAACAAAAAAGAAATGCGTCCTACATTGAATACTGGACACGCGTGATCATTTTTCACTGGCGTCTGCAGTCACGCAGCAATCGGGAACAGAAGCCTAAACTAATCCTAATGGAAGTCAGAGAAATCGTACTCCGGAAATAATGACACTTTCCATAATTACGCAGCAGAAAGCCTAAAAAGAAACAGCTCGTTGATAGTGAGAAAAATCTATGGAAACACTTTATTTTTTCCCCTCCTCCCGTGAATACACGCGACAATAGCACAAAAATCGGGTATTTTTCTATCTTTCTTTTTTCTTATTCTGATTCCTCGTGATCATCAACGGCGATGGATAATGGATAAGAAATTTCGCCGATGGCGAATTTTCCCAGAACTCGCGTACCCCGGAGGGAAAAAATTCTGCGAGAAAATTCCGTCTAGGAAGTAAATCGGCGCCTACTTCTCACATATTTCAAGTACGGGAGTTTACGACTTCCTGCTCATTCATCAATCCACCATCTTGACTTTTCCTTGCCGCATTAAAGCAAAACCTTTCATGGGAGATGGTCAAACGCGTTGCCGCAATTACCGTTTTTGAGCGTCTTGCGGTCCGGAACGATGCAGGGATGGTCGTTCGAAGGAGAAGACAAACCAGAAGATGCATCATTCATCAACTGAATTCCATGACAAACGAAATTTACTGCAACTGGCAGATTTTCTGGTACTTTACAAATGATATTCGAGATCCGAAACTTCCGCGAAAAATTGAGTCAAGGAAAATTTATAATTTCAGGCCCCAGTGAAGACAGTTAAATACACCAGAAGTTGGTCACAATTTTACACGGAAGAACAAAATCACTTTGCCGATTTTCTTCCTTCTAACTTGATTCGCGAATAAAAACTTCCGCGCAAAAAAGCCTCGTAAAATTTTAGGATTTTCAGCCAATATTGGAAAGAGGAATACACCATAAGTTGCTTCAATCGGAATCCGAGTTCCGCGAAACATATACAGTATATTTTTAGCAGATTATTTTCTAGTGATCTCCGGGCTGTTCACAGCTTTACACCGCAAAGCTTTCGCAAAAACAGGTGATGAAAATAATTGTAGGTTTTCGGCATCAGTGAAGACAGCATGATATTGTAATTTCGCAACCAAAAAATAAAATAACTTTACGATGGACATTCGATGGATTAAAGTACCGCTGATTCACGCACCGAAAAGCGATTCGACTCGGTCGAACCTTTTCGTTCAGCTTATCGCAAATCGTTTTGCTTCGCGGGATCTGCGATGTTTATTATAAACTTTGTTTTTCCTGCGTTTCCTTGTTGGACTGAAGTTGAATGAATACAAATGGACGTAATTTTATACAGTAATTTTTACATTCTATCTAAACTTCTACTCAATTCGGGGCTAACCTAAGCTTGAAAGGGGTTCGAGGTTTTCCGGTCACATTCGTCTGTTTTCTAAATTTGCAGGCTGCCAACGCACTAGAAACTGAAAATTTGAAAAATCTCCGTAAAAACTTACAAATCTAATCCATGTCACAATGGAAAGGTTGCCTGGATTTGTCACAATAGGGATAAAATCAATATATGATGAGTACTGGCCCAAATAAAAACTGAAAACTTTTATCAAATCTGCGTGAACCTGGTTTTACTCTTTTTTTTACAATGCCTCGACGGTTTAGACTTGAGACTCTTCGGAGCATTCTAATTGAATAACTTGGGTTCTTTCCCATAACCCCGACAAAGCCTTAGAACTATCCGTCGTCTCATCACAAAACTTTTATAATAAGACGCTTAAACTCAATGCAATCTTCCACTTACAAATAGACGTCGCAGTAACCAACAAAACAAAAACTAGAATCTTCAGGCTCTTTTCAAGGCTTTGGGAAATAACAGAGGCTTAAGTTTATTTGAACAGATAAATAAGTGCAGCAGAGGACGAAACGAAGCAAGATTTTGCAGCTAGAACTCAAGCTCGAAAAGCCCGCGCATAAATTCAGAAGAGACGCCTTTGATGCACTGTGGGAAGCCATCTGCCAAGAGAGAGAGAAATCTTCCAACTTCTGTGGGTTGTTTTACTTGTCCCTGGCACTGTGGGAACGACACGGTACGCAATAAAATTGTCTCCCAAGGTAAACGTCTTTTTGACATATAAGCGTGGTGGATGAATCCGCAATTTTCCCCCGCAGTCCGCAAGCCATTTATGCTCAACATCACAAAGGCAGCCAAGTTTTGCGCAGAAAGAAGTAGAAGACCCACGCGCTGGGAGTATTTTCATGGAATTTTATTCAATACCAGCTAACTTTTTGAGAATATGCGCATACCAAATATGGAGTTGAAGGTCACTCTAAATGACCCGAGGAAACAAAAATACACTTGGTACAGAATTAAAAATATTTGTTATTTCGATCGAAGAAATTTCTGCTTCATTGACACACTTCGTGGAACTCGTTTACAACATCAAGGCTGTTGAAATTTAATTCATGAAATCATGGCTGCAGTGACAGCCAACCACTGAGCAGGTTTTGTGGTTACAGTTGCTGGTTACTGTTCGATTTTTTTTACTTACATGCATTTAAAAGTTGAGTGATGTAAATATTACGGCTCAGTTGAAGGGCTTAAAAAAAGGGAAAACATTTTCATTTCTTTTTTGATGAAACTTAAAACTTTTTCATCATGTTTATGCAGTGAAATTTTGTGGTAAAATTTTTATAGCAAGTTCCAAAACTTAGAAGAGCTTAAAAAAAATACTTCATTTATCTCTTGATAAGGCTACATAATTTTATCTCTGGGTATTCTTGTGAATTCGTCAAAAATCGCATGCAACAAATATTGGAACTGAATGTTCACCCAGTTCTGGTTATCCTATCGATTCGACATTTTGTCCGCAGATTCTGGATGATGATAAAATATATACAGCATTCCAATTTTAAGCTGATAAGTTTGATTTTTTAATGCATTAAAATTAGAGCGAATTTCAACACTCGATTTTCAACCACTTGGAAATACTGGAAATACGATACAGTATATTCGAGACGATAATTTGCATGAAATATTCATGCATGCAATTTCGTCTTGCTAGAGATTGAATTTGTGTACGAACATGTTCAATTATAGACACTTTGAAATGATATTCATTCTCCCAAATAAGAAACCCATTTCAAAAGAGGCAAAGGAAAAACATGCTCCTTATTGATTGGGAACACAAATTTACTTTTTTTTTAAACTGTAGTGGCATTTAAAAGCCTTGCATGCGTAAAACTGAATTTATTCTCACTATACCGTAGTATTGTGCAAACTTCGTTCGAACAGGGATCTTCTCAACGGCTTTTCCGGAAGAAATAACCAAAACTCCGTATTTATAGAACAAGGATAATTTTTCCCAACAATAATTTAATCGCAGCTGCAAACGACCGCGGATGGAGTAATTTTTAACTATTACTAAAATCACGCTTTGAAGGCCAGGGACTTTATGCGGAGAGCAATTTTCTCCACACCAGGTGGTCTGTGCAATCAGTCTATTTATGCGAGGATTGAGTCACAACTTCGCAGATTAATATTCAGAGCAGTTGAAACTCTTCAGCCAAGATTGCACATTCAGAATTTTAATACAGTACGAGCAATCGGTTCATCTGGGCACGTCATGCTTCAGATGGATATTTAGAGATTTTGAAACTTCCCAGCGAGCAAGAGTATAGGCTTCAATCGTCTGCGTACCAGGTTAATTTTAGGTATTCTTTGGCCGAATTAATAATTTCGAACAAATTTCGTTTCATTTCAGACTTGCAGACATTTTGAATGTAAAAAATGGGCTTTTGTCTTGAGATCTTTCTATCTTCCCGGATGCTTTTCTTGATGTTCTATGAAAAGGATACCCGCTGGGAATAGAATTTGCTGCGGCCCATTTTTCAGCCACTCGATAAGCGATCTTCAGCAATACGTATTTCTTCCAAGTACTCAATACTGTATTCTCTTGAACTTCCTCTGGATTTTAAACTTCCTTTCCACACCCAACCTTTCACATCGTTGCTTGAAATAGTTTACCAACAATATTCATTTGTGGCAAACCTCCAGATCCCTCAATAATCCCCAGTACAGGCAAAGCCGAAAATACTTGTGACCCGAATTAAATTTCGTCCCAATTCTTAAAAAAAAAAAAAAATACATACCCCCCGAAAAATAGACTGATCTCATTTCCGTGGGAAGATGGCATTTGGCAAGAGGAAAATAAGGCTCAGAAACGCCAAATGCAGTTTCCGTGAAGGCATTAACTGGATTTCACAATGGAGAATCAGTACTGTACTCATAAATCATTTTGAGATATTTTTCTTGGTAAAATAAAAATGATAATGCACAGCTGCGCGGGAACGATAAACAGACAAATCTGCACTTGAGCAGCCCGTGGGCTGGAAGAAGTTCGTCCATCGCCCCATGAGAAAGTAGACGCATATATTTAAAGAACAAATAAAAATAATTTCCTCAACGAAGGAAAATTAAGCTTGGTTCTCTCAACACTTGCTCGAAAGGTTTAATTTCAGTCGAGAGATCCTGATTTCACGCAAATGAAAACAAAAATGAAAGTGTGCTGATTTGGATTTAAATGAAGATAAACTCAAGGAAAAGGGAATTTTTTGCTCACCGATTCGCCTCTCGCATCTTGGCCAGAATCTGAAGTTCTTCCTGTGTGGGCAATTCGTTGCGGTTGCCGTCCAGTGCCGCCTCTTGCTGCAGCTTTTGAGGCGTCAGCGGCGGCGACGGCAGCGAACACTCCATCATCGCCGTGCCGCCGCCCCCTCCCTCACCACTGGCAGTCACGATCGCGACTGTCCCATAACTTCAAGGCTCGAAAGGAAACCTGAATTCAACCATGGAATATTAATCAATTAATCGAGCATGGTTGGCACTTCAGTCCGAGAAAAAAAAACATTGGGCGTTATAGAATATATTTTACAAAAGGAGGCAAAACAAATCAATCATAAATTTAAGCACAAAAATAAATTCCTGGCATGCTTTTGATTCATTCGCGCTTCAAACGATATTCTCAAAATCTCACAAAGTCCCACTGATTATTTGGAGGACGAAAGTCATTTCAATGGCAAAATAAAAAAGAATCAAGGTCATTTTCATTCTTTTTGACGGGAAGGTTGTGTGCATGGCGAGAACATTATCAAACCATTCATGAACAGCAATCAATAACCTTAATACAGTATTATTGAATCTTCTCCTAAAATAAATGACAATACCTGGTTTTCTCATCAAGTGATTTTGAAGATAAATGAAATCAACGAATTCTAAGCGTGCCGAATTCAAGGTAGAATTCGTCCAGAAAAGCTTGCTCAACAATTGAAAAAAAAAACCATATTATTAAAGCTGAGACTCCATCATCAACTTTCGAAGGAAATAAAAGTACAGAAATATGAGTTCATTCTGCAAAAATAATTTATACTGGAAATTCTTCGGACGTCTAATGAGAGCTCATCGCTGGAACAAGAATAATACGACGCATCGCACGAGAGAGATGGCATTAAACGAGTACATTCTTCAGAATATAAAAGATCAAATGAGCAATTCTCAACAGTGCCTAAAGTTGAAGGTCATCAGTTAAAGTTAGGTCAGCAATTCAAAATCGTACAGGTCGGGTTGCATTCGGTTAGTTAGACGAGATTAGGTTACTGCAGGCTTTAATTACGTCAGGCTTTTATACGCACTCATTTGATCCTTCCTCTTACTTCTCACGTATCAGTTCGTCACGTGGCACTAGTTTTACGAACAAAGAGTCATATAGTTCTTTGATGAAAATGGTAATGAAGATAACCATTGGTAATTGTGCGTGTGACTACGCGAGATTAGGCAACTTAAATTTAATCCTTGCTGTTATAAACCATGAGAATGTACCACAGAATTTCGTTCAGGTGATGGGAGAAATAAAACACATCCGAGTCCTCTAATAAAATCTTTCGTCCATCTAAGTTTATCTAAGTTTTATCTTTATCATCATCGTCTAGAGAAGTAGACACTCGAATATTTAAAAAAAAAAAGCATTCTTTCTTCTTATCGGGATCTGCTTTCTCTTCGTTTCTCATTAGCATAATCCCATACTTTACCTCGGCAAAAACAAATCGAAATGTTTTTTTTATTATTAGAAGCGAGACACTCACTTTTGAAAAACAAACGACGTCGTAACAGGTTCCAGGCCCCGAAGGCGCGACCGAAATCCGCAAGAGGTCAGTCGAAGTGCGCACACGCGGAAAACACGTGAACTTTTGCTGATGGCGCTGTTGCGAAAACAAGTTCAGCCTAAACGAGTCCAACGATTCGTTTTCTTTCCGACGCGCAAAAACGAGAAAAAGAAGAGAGCACTTTCCCGCTGCCCCGGGGGGAATGCCAATTTAGTTACAATCAACTCCACCACGCAAACTTCGCCGGAAAAAATATCATCGAACCCAGTCACACCAAACAGAAACCGAAAATAATCACTTCTCCACGCGAATGCGAGTGGATGGTATAACCTGTGAAGGTAAAAAAAAATATATATCTATAATAGGCAACACTGAAATGTAATCGAGATTCAGACGAGGAACCAGCGGTCTGAAATAAATCATCAGCACTGGAAGAGAAAAATACGACTGCCGTAGGCGTTGACTTGGGCTGATCCAAATTGCGTTTCGGTTTTTTTTTTAATCCACTTCCTGCCTTCACCATCAGCAGGATATCTTCTGCAAAACATTTTCCTCTAATGTGGCAGGCAAAGACCAACCTTATCGATTTTTCGCATAATAATGCAAGGTTTTTGCTCTAGAGTCGAGCTGATATATTTTTTGTATTGAGTTCTTTCTATTTTCGGCTCGTTCCAAAACCAATTCTCAACAAATAAATATGATTTCACAACGGCTCCTAAAGGATTCCGACTCAAAAAATTATGCACCAAAATACTGTAAATTCATACGCACTGACACAACTTTCCAACTGTTCATCGTAACAATCTCTTTCAAAAATAAATTGAATGTGGGATTATGCAATGAAATGGGAATTCAACTTGCGAATTGTGTCCCTCCGTAATTTTTGTTAAAAGGTTAATGATCCCTGAAAATAAATTTCCTCGCATTGGATCAGGGTTAGAAAACAGGATGCGTCGTTCACACACTTTCAAATATGCAAAGATGAATAATCCATCCATCTCAAAACTGTCCGAGTACTAAGCATGTACCGAACCCACTTTTCACTTCCTTCCCACGCATATTCTAATGAGTCAAGACACACAGAAAAAGCACGTGAATCACAAACGACCGTGTTCGGTGGATTTCTCCCGTTTTTCAGAAGTCGCGAGTGTCAAGTCACATTGAAACCAGGTTTTTTCCGTTCACTCGCTTTCACTTGACACAAATACACTGCATTCACAAACTTGACCAAACCGAGAGAAAAATATGTGTGCCACTTTATGAGCAATACATTTGGGAGGTCATCCATCGCTCATCAGCTGAAATACACATTTCCGTGACCGCCAAGGGTTTCCACGGTTCATTGGCACGCGCAGAAATGAGCTTTCATTCATCTATAGCAACTCCATTAAGGTGTCAGGTCAGGCCCTACATATGAAAAAAAAATTATAGAAATAACACCACGTTGCTACTGAGCAAAACTGGAGCAACGCAATCGTTTTTCAGTTAATATTTCCTTGAATGCCAGGGAGTTATACCGAAGATTTAAAAAAAAGCAAAAACATAATATAATCATAATTTTTTTCTAAGACACGAGAGAATTTGCAAGAGAACGTTGGAAATTATTTGTCGCAAAAGATAAAAGGAACCTCGCAAAACAATTAACTGGTCCAATTTCTTTACACAAGGCTCTTATTTAACATTTTAAAACTGATCTTCTCCTGATTAGTACCGTATCTTTACATTTTTAATTTCCGAAAACTCGGAAAAAATGATCTGTTGTCTGTTTATAGATAGTTTTGCGGCACGTTCAACTTGTTCAGTGACTGAACAATAATGAAGTATGAAGGCTCGTTTATAAGCCGTTCCAGTCCCATGCTCAACTCGGATGGATGGACAAAAGTAGCGCAAACTAATCTCAACCTTTAATGATTAATGTTATGTGGCTTGCTTACCTAGGGTGGAATGCAAACAAGACGGAAAGGTGAAAGAGAGAACCATCATTGATGGGTTAGAAAGGGCACACATATTTTCTGGGTGGTTGAGGAATAAGAACATATTTTCTAGTACCGAAAAATCAGCAGAAAATGACTTCTACCTAGTAGTCCTACCTGAAAACCAAGGTCAAAAGAAAACAGATCTTAATTTCCAATATGAGAAGCTGGACGTGGGAGTAGCCCCACAATGCTGATTTTTGAGTAAGAAGTTGCCCCAATAGTCATGGAATCTAAATAAAAAAAAACCCTTTTGCTTCCCAAAAAAGAGTGAAGACCTAACCAGTAAGTTATTACGGAACCCAACGTGCTTTCCTACTAAGAAACTCGGAGAATTTAATTCAAGGAGACTGACAGAACTTCGGAACCCACCCTCGTTCCTGTAAACGGATGTAAGACGTGTGCACATAATTGTTTGCTAAAATCAGCACCCCATTGATGGCCGACAGATCGGAAAGCCTCAAGAACGAGCAAACTTCCTCTTCTTGAGCCAGATTCACAGGCAGGCAAGAACACAGAACAAAAAGAAGCAAAGAAACAAATTGTCGGCAGAAATCAGAAGCCACTGTTTTCTAGAATTGCTCTTTAAAGCAGCTTCACACACACACACACACACACACAAACGAAAAAAAAGGGATTCACCATCTCGCGAATATTTCTTGGGACTCCGTGCAAGAACGAAAAATCCAGAAAGCAGAACACTGAATAAACCGTTCCGCTTCAGGCGAGCAGCGACTCACAAGCTAGAAATATCCACACTTCGTTAACACCACAATAGTGGACAAAGGATTCATTCCTCTTCTTCCTGCTTCACTTCCTTCCGGTTTTTACCAAGCGGAAGTGTATCTTCTTTCTTTTTTTCTTCTCCCTCCCCCCAACACTGAGCTTCCGTGTGCCCGAAAGCCTCACGGGATCGAAGCGGAATGAGGCGCATCGACTGACTTGCTCACTCGTTCGACGCGGCGAAGCACCGGAGTGATCTCACGCCCTGATTAGCGCCCACATTAGCAGCTGTCCGAACAGCCTGCGAGATCGTTTCCAGCAGGGCTTTTCTTCTCATTCTGCAAGTCCTTTCATTTTACTTTATAAAAAAAATTTATTCGTTTTATTTTCAAGAAAAGAAAAAAAACTACACAGTAAAAAAAGGTGTCTCGTCGGGAATCGCGGCCAGACGAGCAAGAGCGACGCGATCGAACACCAAGACCGTTTTCTCCTGCGTCCGTCATTTGATAAAGGATACCTACCTATTCACCCCGTCTCCCTTTTGTTTTATGCTGGGCAGCTCATCCTACAGGTGCCTTACCCACCTAGGGATCTGCAACCAGCAGCTGTGGAACGACCAATGTGTCTGCAAGATAACTGTTGGTATAGTCTCGACTCCTTTTTTTTTAGGGGTTCGGAAAAATAACACATTTTTGCTCCCTCTGAGCTACCATATCACGGAAAAAGAGGAAAAGACGTTTCTCACTTTACAGGCAGACTGTCTCTGCAGCGATGTTGTTCATCATAAAATTCACCATGCCAAGAAGTATTCGTCCTGATCCCAAGAGGCCTTTTAGTGAAGAATCATCATCTCATCTACAACGATAGCTACCTTCAAAGCGAATAATTTGTTTTTCACTTGACTACTGTTGTGCATTTACGAACATTCAGGAATTGTGATTGGATTATGGGTTGACTGTTTTTGGATTTGGTAGGGATTGATTTGATAAATCTTCGTAGCAGATCTATGACAAGAAATTAAAAGATGCTGAGGCTTAGGTGAAAGATAAAGGTGGCAACTATTATTCATTTATTTGAGTGAATGAAAGATGCCCATTTCTTGCAAGCACATTGCTGGGATATGGAAGCAGATCTATGACAAGAAATTAAAAGATGCTGAGGCTTAGGTGAAAGATAAAGGTGGCAACTATTATTCATTTATTTGAGTGAATGAAAGATGCCCATTTCTTGCAAGCACATTGCTGGGATATGGGCAATTTGAGACCGGGACAATTAGAAAAAGCAAAAGTAGGACCTTCACATGCATCTTCGTTTTCATTTATTTTTCTTAATTTTTTTTTCAAAACCTACATAACATTATAGTTCTGAAGTTTAAGGCGGAAGAGGGACCAGTTTAAAATCAACTCTGCTGATGCAGGCGCAATTTTTTCTCCCCAAAATTCTTCATGAATCTTGAAGAAACAATCATAGGCCTCAAGTGAGGAATAAAGTTAGCCTACATTTTGACAACACAGTGCAATTTTTGTTCCTTCACCCACCTTCAATATGAGATAAGAGAGGAAAAAAAAAAGAAAAGTCATTTTGCAAATGCTTCTGTCTCAAATAATCTCCGTCTCAAAAGGTGCCTATCTCGAATTGTCCTGGTCTCGAGTTGGCCCTGTCTCAAATGGTCTGCCTCGAATTATCCCAGATCCGCTGGGAAAAGATAATACGGTACATTGTTTTCTGTGAAGGACCAATATTTGCGGTGATGTAAGAGAATATCGTAATTAATTACCCAATAATTAGGTGGAAAGTTAAATGCGTAACAAATGAATATTTTTTATTCGAAATCAACTACACGGAAGAAGTCGTTCGATATCCGGGAATATTTCGAATCTTCCAAGCATCCATTCAAAACATACGGTTATTCCGGAGTTTCTATAATACGCGACTTCTCGACGATATTCCGAATTTCCAATTAATAAATTTTCCATCTGAAACATCAGAAGAAAGATGCAGCGAGGAATTATAGCGCTTTGAATTGCAGAAAATGCTAAAAGACGTCATGCTCTTAAAATAGCTCAATCAGTTATTTTGACATCCGCCTAAGCAGATCTATGACAAGAAATTAAAAGATGCTGAGGCTTAGGTGAAAGATAAAGGTGGCAACTATTATTCATTTATTTGAGTGAATGAAAGATGCCCATTTCTTGCAAGCACATTGCTGGGATATGGACAATTTGAGACCGGGACAATTAGAAAAAGCAAAAGTAGGATCTTCACATGCATCTTCATTTTCATTTATTTTTCTCTAATTTTTTTTTTCAAAACCTACATAACATTATAGTTCTGAAGTTTAAGGCGGAAGAGCTAGGGACCAGTTTAAAATCAGCTCTGCTGATGCAGGCGCAATTTTTTCTCCCCAAAATTCTTCATGAATCTTGAATAAACAATCATAGGCCTTAAGTGAGGAATAAAGTTAGCCTACATTTTGACAAAACAGTGCAATTTCTGTTCCTTCACCCACCTTCAATATGAGATAAGAGAGGGGGGAAAAAAAAGTCATTTTGCAAATGCTTCTGTCTCAAATAATCTCCGTCTCAAAAGGTGCCTATCTCGAATTGTCCTGGTCTCGAGTTGGCCCTGTCTCAAATTGTCTGCCTCGAATTGTCCTAGATCAGCTGGGAATGGATGATACATTGTTTTCTGTGAAGGACCAATATTTGCGGTGATGTAAGAGAATACTGTATCGTAATTAATTACCCAATAATTAGGTGGAAAGTTAAATGCGTAACAAATGAATACTTTTTATTCGAAATCAACTACACGGAATAAGTCGTTCGATATCCTGGAATATTTCGAATCTTCCAAGCACGCATTCACATCATACGGTTATTCCGGAGTTTCTATAATACGCGACTTCTCGACGATATTCCGAATTTCCAATGAATAAATTTTCCATCTGAAACATCAGAAGAAAGATGCAGCGAGGAATTATAGCGCTTTGAATTGCAGAAAATGCTAAAAGACGTCATGCTCTTAAAATAGCTCAATCAGTTATTTTGACATCCGCCTTGAAAAATGCATGAAGCGGATTCACCCATGGTACTGCAGGCACTATGAGCCAAGGAAGGCTTCCATTGCCAGAAATTGTGACAAAAGACGCACATCCTCTGCTTCATTCATCACAAGTCCTTTTTCTGAGGGTCCTTTTACAGGAATCCCATTTCATCAAAGGCTGTCTGCTTGCAACGATAAGATAGATGCTCACATCAAACGGACGAGCGAGTGCAGTTGTAATGCATGACGGTCACGCAGGGGATTGCGCATTATTTTGACAATACTTATCCAAATCGCGAAAAACATAATTTATGCAAATGATTCCAGAAAATAGGACATCTGAACAAGATGCCAACATCTTTTTTTCTATCAATAAATTTGACTTTTCCGCCACGTGTTTCTAGATTATTAGAATACTGTACACCAACAGATGATGCGACGATGCGAAGGTTTTTAACAAATGAGACGGCGGAATTCGTCACCTTGCACCTGATACTCAAAAAATGGGGTTTGCATGGATCGAAAGAAAAATGCAATAAGCCGTATCTGAGCTATTCTACCGGTTGTATGAATGTCCCTTGTGGCACTTTAACCCAGCAGGTGGTTTTGGAGTATTTTCCGAAACTTCTTTCCGGGAAATGAAGGTCTTCAAGAACCCAAATTAGTGATTCAGAAGTTTACGGAATTTCTACATTGTCGTTAGTGCGACGACTTGCTGAAATGATTCTTGGATTATACCACGCATTTTAGCGCAATCTTTACATTGATTATAACGAATACAAATATTGACAACCAGAATAAGATAACATCTTTTCATCGGAACATGGTTTCCAGATATGTTTCCCTGACATCACGATAACTTCTTGATCATTTCAAGCACTACTTGGATTGCTTTAAAGTGAAATAACAATGCAAATGTGGCGTAATAATCTCCTTTCAATGCACTTATATGAAGCACTTTCAATTCACTTCCTTATTAAAACTTAAAGCTGTAAACGTAATAATGAAAACAAAAATCGTGAAATTAGCAATATCAATTTGTGAAAAGTATGCTAATCTAAAATCACAACCCATTCAACGACAATAACAAATCGCAAGGCTGACACGACTTATGAACCAACCCTTGCGCTTTGCCACGTGTTGGAAATGGTGGTAACGACAAAATGGCCGAAAACCAAATCAAAATTTTCATTAATCATTATTTTTGCGAATCAAAAATAACCTATTGCGGGGTTTAGAAATGTAAACAGCAGCTGACTCCTACAAGCTAAACGAAGAGATGGAAGGACATTTCCAAATGCTTCACGGAATATTCACTCATGAAACAGCAACAATAAAATAAATGAAAATGAAGATGCATGTGAAGATCCTACTTTTGCTTTTTCTAATTGTCCCGGTCTCAAATTGTCCATATCCCAGCAATGTGCTTGCAAGAAATGGGCATCTTTCATTCACTCAAATAACTTAAAGCTGTAAACGTAATAATGAAAACAAAAATCGTGAAATTAGCAATATCAATTTGTGAAAAGTATGCTAATCTAAAATCACAACCCATTCAACGACAATAACAAATCGCAAGGCTGACACGACATAACTAACCTTCGCGCTTTACCACGTGTTGGAAATGGTGGTAACGACAAAATGGCCGGAAACCAAATCAACATTTTCATTAATCATTATTTTTGCGAATCAAAAATTACCTATTGCGGGGTTTAGAAATGTAAACAGTAGTTGACTCCTACAAGCTAAACGAAGAGATCAAAGAATATTTTCAACTGATTCACGGAATATTCACTCATGGAACAGCAACAATATAAAATAAATGACCAGGACATGACTGTGAACACGTTCACACTCCCGAGAAACTCATTACTCATTCTTTAAAAAAAACGGGAATAATTCCGAATCTCACAATAAAAAGTGAAGTACAGTGTTGTACTTGCTTTTCTACAAAGCACCTGTACTTGAAACCGCATCTTCAGCTTCTTCACCAATCCGTGCTCGTTTGTCTCGAAAAGCTTCCCGCAAAAAACCTCAGAAACACGCTATTTTGTCACCTGAACAGTTGGCGGGAGGACAAATAACTCGATAATGCCAGCTGGATTCCCGTTTCCAGGAACCGACAGTCAATGAGAAACGAAACGAAAAAAAAATGAGGTACAGTATTATACCAGCGATTCATCGTGAGTAAGCAAAAACCACAATGCAGTCGTTGTGCCTATTCATCGCAAAAATAAAAGGAAATAAAACAAAATCTGCATGCAGCTTCAACTAAGGATTCGAGACAGCGAACGA